CCCGCCGCGCGGCGAACACGGAGGCAGGGACGGCGCGGGCCCGGACACCCGCAGGCTCCGGGCGGGGCTCGGAAGGGCCGCAGGGGGCGGAAGGCCGAGCCCCCAGTGTGGAAATGAGCCGGGCCCCGGGCGCACGGAGCCGCTCGGATTTCTGCGCCAACCCGGTGTTCCGGGCAGGGAAGGTTCTCAGGGTCCCCGCGAGGGCGGTTGGAGGGGAGGCGGGCATTGGCAGAGTCTGGCAAGAGGGCGAAGCCGACGGCCCAGGCTGTAATCGGATCAGACCTAATCCGTCCGCAGCCAAAGCCTCTAGCCCAGATCTCTTATAGCCGGGCCCTCCAGAATGCGTCCTGGGGCAAGGGGCGAGACTCTCCCTGAGACTGCGGCTACCTCGCCTTCCTTCTAGCCTCCTCGGGGCTGCCTGGGGAGCAGCCATTTATCCTGGTCCCTGGCACACTTGGACGTCGGGCCAGGCGTTAGAGTGGTCTTCGGGGCCCCGTTCACCGTTCACAGGGCAGCCCAGGGCCACACACCCCTGGATCCCTGCTTAGTGGGGAGGAAGACCAGTGGCCTAGTCACCTACTTCACCCCTCAAACTGACCGTCTACCTCTTGATGTGTTTGTAATTGACCCAAATGATGACGTTCAGCGTCTCAGCACTGGGAGATGGAACAACTCTGGTACTTGAGAGATGCTACCCTTTCTGTCCTAAGGACCAAATAGGTGACCCAGATGGAGATTCCATCTAATCTCTCATATGTGTCTCTGCATGGAGTTGCCTTGGTTCAAATCCTGTTTCTCTCACCTAAACCACGCAACCTATTTGCCTGGCCTAATGCTTCCTTCCCTTCCCTCCTAGCCTGCCTGGCAAACTCTTTATGCTGGAAAAGCCCAGTTCTTACCACCTTCCCCTCTGTGAAGTCTTTTCAGCCTGCCCCAAGCAGTTAGACACTTAAGCCTTGATATCATCCTCTGACTACAGTAATTCCCCACTGGACTGCAATGCAGGTGAGTACACAGCGCCAGGCATAGACGGAGGCTCCATTACATCTGTAGAAAGATAAATGCAAATGAACTAATGGCAACCACCCACACCCACGCCAGAACCGTGGGTCTGGAGCTCCCTTGCAAAAAGGGCTGACTTCCTGAGGCTCTTTATATGGCTTCACGCTGCCTCCAGGGACAGTAAAGTACCAGTTTGAAATACAACCTTCTCTAAGCAGAGAGCTAGGTAGGTCTTTGCACCCACCTGTTGGCCACAGAGGCACCAACACACCCTTATTTGCCTCCAACCCCATCTTTGCATTCCCTGTCCGTAGCTTATCTCTGCATTACCTTGTACTGTAGGAGGGGAGGATACTTCAAAAAGTTCACGGAGGGCCGGCCCCTGGCTCACTTGGGAGAGTGTGGTGCTGACAACACCAAGTCAAGGGTTCAGATCCCCTTACTGGTCATCTTTTTTTTTTTTTCCTTTTTGTCTTTTTTCGTGTCCGGCAACAGGATCGCAACCCTCGGTGTTGTGGCCGCACCTCGCTCAGCCAGTGAGCGGGAACCGGTCTGTATGTGGGATCTGAACCCTCGGCGGGCGTGCCGCCGTGCTCCCAAGCGGCGCACTGTAGCAGTGCGCCACCGGGTCAGCCCCCTGGTCATCTTTTTAAAAAAAAAAAGTTCACGGAAAGATTCAGTCTTTTAATTCCATTTTTCCACGAATTTACTCAAATACCCTTGTATGTAGAATTTGTGTTCCTCTGCTTCTCTGTGTCTGCTCGACTCTCGGGTGGTGTTTGTCATAGTGGAAGTTGGTGGACGTACCTATCTCCTCTTCCCCTTCCTGAGGCTGGTCAGTGTGGGAAGGAGGGTCCCTTGATGTTTGGGGCATGACCACTCCTCATGTTTTTCACGAGAGGTCTGGATGAAGGAACTTCTCCCACTTCGTTAAAACTCTACCCGTTTCTCATTTTTAATGTTCTGTTAACTATTTAAATATATCCTTTTAAGTTCAATTTTTGAATTAGTAAAAGAAACATATGGTTTAAAATGTGAAGTGTCTCTTTCCTCTGTTATTTACTCAACCATCTTCTTCCCTTTCCTGGTGACAAATTCTGTTACCACTTTCCTCAATTTGGGATTTTAAATCAATTGTTGCTATTCACTTTCATTCTGATCCACCCTGTAGCAGATCTCACTAGAAGTTTCGGAACTGAACGAAGCATACTTGGTTGGGTGACACCTCCACAAGATGGATGAGAAAAGCTCATCCAGGCAGTGGTGTGTGAGGGGCACAGTAAGACCCAAGATCAGATTTTGTAACTTTTGGAGAGTCAGTAACCTGAATCTGTCATATGTGAAAGTGCTTGGTAACTGTAAGTGTCAAATGAATGTAATATTTTTCTTGGCAGAGAGCAGGGGTAGGCTAAAGAAGAGATATAAGGGCCGGCCCGTGGCTCACTTGGGAGAGTATGGGGCTGATAACACCAAGGCCAAGGGTTCAGATCGCCTTACCAGTCTTTTATTAAAAAAAAAAAAAAAAAAAAAAAAAAATATGATATAGGATATGAAGAGTGAAAGAAAGGAAAACTGACCTCTATCTAGAGCTTACATCCATGTCCCCACATTCATGTCTCATGCATTTGGGCATAAAGGATGTTTTGTGTGGCAACAGCTTCTACATGCCTTTGAGTTTCCTGTAGGGTTTGGCAACCTGCCTCCTGTGTCAAGGCAGGCAGGAGAACCATTGCTACAGCTGCAGTCTGCCTCCCTGTGCATGGAAAGCCACAAAACTTCACCAGGGGGCTTCTGTCCAGGGCAGAAGCTACTCCAATCACCACGACTAGGAGCATAGTTCCATCTGCACAGGAAGCAGCAGTTCCCGGCTTTAAGTCCTCAGTATTAACCATTAGTGTAGTAGTGAATTTTTAGTTTTCCTTGTGCTCTAATTTGCCTTATTCTTCACAACCATAGCACAAATATTTTATCAGTCCTATTTTATGCATTTACAAACTGACACAGAGAATTAGCAACTCTGTCCAAGATCATGCAAATGAAGTGGTAAGGCCAGGACTTGAACTAAGATCCTTCCTGATTTCAAATCCTTTCATTTCAATATGGATACTTTTCATTCCTGCTTCTTAATCTTAGAATGGGAATCAGGATGCAGAGATGGGGCATCAATTGGCAGATTGGAAGGCCTCCCTCCCTCCCCTAATTTCAGCTGGGCATTTAAGAGTGATGTTATGATCTCTTAACAGGGAACAACACAGACAAGACCAGGTTCATGGTTCTAGGCTGCAGGGCAGTTCGCTGTGACCATTTTTGGTGATGCACTGCTGGGAATGGACCTCCTTACACCATTCCCAGAAAGGGAAGGTTTAAGGGGTCAGGGGCCTGAGTTGTTAATGCTGACCACCACCTTCTCACTGCAGGGAACCCTGGACTCTCAGTTGAGCAAGAGTTCTCATCTTAGAAAAGGATACCACAACCTGGAGGTGGTCTTCTTGTCTAGGCAATAGGTCTGCCACCAGATTTTTGGGAAGGTCTCTTGAATTTCATTACCCCCAAAGCCAAGCCACTTGGGAGAAAGCCACATAGCAGAAGCCATAGTACAAGATAACAGCCTCTGATGTGGAGTACCTAGGTTTGTCTGCAGAAGAGAACTGCTATGTCAGCAGGTAACCGAAGAGCTTCTTGGGGACCCTGTAGCTACTGTGAAATAAGCTGACTGGAGCAAGGGATGCCAATCTAGATGGCCATGGGAAACTGATGAATGTCAGGGCAAAACCAGCCACAGAAATCAGCCTCTGCAAAGGAGCTATTACTATCCAGGAGTGCTGCTGCTTTCTAAACCCCTTCTGGATTATCTGGTAGTGAGGGCAACTTGGATGGTAGACACAGAACCAGGATGGGAGGCATTTTCTTTCCTTTGTCAGTTGTCTGAAGGTGGTAGTCACTGTACTGTATTAAGGCATGGCTATTTTGCTCAGGCTTTGCAAAAGCTACGTCCAAAAGGGTAGATGGTGGTGTCTCCTCTGAAGGGTAAAGTTGCTGTCAGAATCAGTCACCTGGCTGCTCTACGTGGGGTTGGAAGGCATGGGAAGGCCTTTGGGGACAGCAGGAAGAAAATGTTTCCAATTCTGCAAGGCAGGTGGTCAGCAGTGAGGGACCAATAAGGCTCTCTCAATCC